AGAGAGAGAGAGAGAGAGAGAGAGAGAGAGAGAGAGAGAGAGAGAGAAAAAGAGCTATGCGATAAGCCCAAATCGAATCTCGTTAACATTGGCTTGCTAACGAGTTTTTTTCTTATTTAAGCAATAAATGAGCGAATTAATCAATTCACACCCAAAAAAACGACTGAAAACAGAGCCACTAAAGAGCTCGAAATTCGGATAGAAACTGCAAAAGGTCATTTATACGAAGATAATGGAGCGTCTTTTTTGGTTATAGTATGTTTTGTGAGCGGTGTATTTTTGTTGTAAAAAACAACAACAAGTTTTGCAGATATTAAACACAGGCCTCTGAATGACAGTTCATAGGCAGTAAACATGCGCAATGCACATCAGCTGTTGGCTCTGTTCTTTGCACAAAATTCAATGTGACGGCAAAATCAAGCGATTACTCAAATATAGATGCCATAAACTATACGCATCTCTCAGGCATTTATCTATTTCACTTACTCTCTCTCTCTCTCTCTCTCTCTCTCTCTCTCTCTTTTGCTTTGCTTTTCTTTGGTATGTTTGATTCGCAGAACGAAAAAAAAACCACATTCCGCATCTCAAATGTTTTCAATCACGTATTAAATTTACGTGCTACGCAATACATTTCGTTTTCGTCTCCACCGATCTTCTTCAGTTTTCGTAACCAAGACGCATTTTTTTCTAGCAGTACATTCGATAAATAGTGATTCAGTTTGGAATCGAAGCCACATCTGCTTCAAAATTTTATGATACACAAAAAGAACGAGAGAGAGAAAAAAAGTTCAAATTGTTTAAATGATGATGGATGGATTATTAATCTTTAATTTAGTTAAAGAGAATGAATAAAAGAAGTGGCAAAAGTGCAATTGGTTCCCATTTTTTCTCATCACTCTTTTCATAAGATGAATGGCGCATAATTTTGAAATTGCAAAATTTTCTTTGTCGTACTTGTCATGTTGTTGTTGTTTTTTTTGCGTTGAATAAATTCGATGGACGTAAACAAGTTGATGGGTGACACGATAACTGCAATGTTTTCGATCATTCCGAATTAAGTTCCATTCTGACAATATTCCATTCGAATGAAGTGTTCCGTTTTTTGTATATTCATCATCATTTTTATGTGGCTTGATCCCGTCTAAGTTTAATTCGTTCCACGCGAAAGTCCATTTTGACAGATGATACGACAGAGAAGTCTATAATGGGAGGATGAGTGCAATGACGAGAGAGATGTAAAAATAAAATCGAACAAACTAGAATGAATGAAAGCCAGCAAATGCATCAAATGAATGATAGTTCAATTATTTTGGCCTCACCACACACATACACGTAAATCGAAATGTGTGCTGCACACTACATCATTTGTTCATTCATTCGTTCGTATATTTAATGCGCAAGATGAGATCGAGTTTGTGATGATGATGATGATGATGATGTGCGAAAACATCGTTGAATTTTATAGCATTTCACATGAATTTTCACAAAGAACGAAAGAGAATCGTGCCGTAATCGCAAAGAACTAAAGCAAAAAATCTGTTCCGTGGTTTCTATTCCTTTTCAATTATTAAAAATTATTAGCTCATTTCCTTTTTTATGTGTGTTTCGAAGTTTTATGACAAGGTATTATCACATAAGTCTGTATGTCGATTGAACCGAACTGCTTGTGTTTGCACTGACTGCGTTTGTTTCTCTCATCTCTCTGCGGGCATTCGGTTACAATGGCGAACGGGATCAATCATATCAGCACATTGGACATAATATACCTAGAATTATTATAGAGTTACCATTCATTCCAATTTGCAAATAGATATCTTTTCTCGTCTATGTAAATTGCTCATTAAATTCATGCATGAGTTGATTCTTGTTACGGAACGGACGAGACGCTAACATTCATCCGTACATCACACGGTTTAGTCATTTGGCTCATCTGGCGCAACAACGTTGACGATGATCGATCTGGTTGGGAAAGTTTAAGATTGCTGGCGCAAGCAGTTTATCGACAATTTACAGATTGCAAATTGGAATATGGAAAAACTGTATTAAAAAAAAACCACCATCGTTTCAATGGAAAAGCCGCTCGAAATAGAAACTTTTTTTCTATTTGAAATTGGCTCATTCTGATTTTTCACATTTTATTTTATTATTGTTTTGCCATCTGCATTTCGAATTGTGTATTGCATTTTGGCATAGACACAGAGTGATCATATGCAAACTCATAAAATGCGCCTGTGGTAAATGGAAGAAATTACGTTCTTTTCGTCTGAAATCGCAAGATTTTAATGATTCGTTTTCCTCGTTCAGTTCAAGTGTCGATGAATCACAACGCCAATGCAATATGTTATTCAAACGGTTCATAGACGTTCGATATCTTATTTCGATGTTAATTGCTCTTTGTGTATCGCAATTTATTGCGTTTCTTCGAACGTAATTGATGAACAAGAAATGAATGCATATATTTTAAATAGACAGTGTTGATGCAATTCAATCATCGTTTCACACAAATCTTTCGCATCGAAATCAAATCACGACAAATAGATCAATGGGAGGCCGTCATAGCTGTCGATTTTTATTCGATATTACATTGCAATATTATACGATTAGTGCATGTATATTTAAAAATAAAGCTCATGCACAGTAGAAAGCTGCCTTGGCAGTGATTTATAGACGAGAATTTGCTATACTACGCAGTTTGTCTACCAATTGTATTTTTTTTTGTTTTGCTTCACTGTCCGTCGACTTTCTGCTGACTTTTTTTGTTTTGTTTGTTTATGTGTTCCTCATTTTCGGTTCTTTGTCGCCATTTCTGCAGTGAAATTTTAATAAACGCGTTCATGTTACCAGCGACAACTGTTCAGTAATTTGTCATAAAATATATTATAAATAGGTTTGACTTCAGTCTGGTCGATTGCATTGCAGTGCATAGACAGACCACAAATCGGGTATTATTATATAAGTCTCCCACAAGTATGTTTCACCTTACAAACCTATTACAATTTGAGCATAAAGCAAACGCAAGCAAATACCATTCGGAAATCATACAATATCTATAGTCCGATGCCAAAGACGTAGACGCGCGATTGAGGTGAAAGAAAAATCCAAAACTTAAAGTCTATTGAAGTGTGCATGTATGTATGTATATTATGATTGGAAAACCTAAATGGGAAATGAAATACACTTGAGAATTGTCCATGACCGCTCATATCATGGCGCGACAACAGGGAAGTTGAAATTTATACGCTAACGAACGTGCGCGCCTATTTCTAAAAATGGTAACAAGAAACGAACACGCAAAATAAAAATCCAACATAATATTATTGTTGTGAGCCGAATAGTCTCAGCTATGTCTCTCTCTTTCTCTTTCTCACTCTCTATCTCTGTGTGCTTGCATGTTCATACAAATTGTAAAGACTTATTTTACATTCAACGCTTCGCTTCAGTGAATAACAATAATTTTTATTAATATTTTTGCTCCATCACACTGACGATTGTGACTTTTATGGCCGTAACGGAAGTCATAGTCGACGATGATCGACGCTGTGCTACAACAAAATTCGTCTGATCGACCTTTTGGATTTAGTCAGTTGTTCGCGGTGCTCGATGAATAATTTACATCGAACTTCGACCAGAAGTAAAGCTGCTGTTTATTCGCAAATCAAGAAAAAAAAAATCAGCGAAAAATGACATCACACACACTTCACTGAAAGCAATTCTAAAACAATCGTTAAGTTTTCAAACTATATTAATATGGCCAAAAATGGTATAATGTAATTTGCGAATGTGAGTACGAGCGCGAGCTCACAAAACGAATGTACTCTCGACGATTGATCGTTTCAAGTGATTATATAAATGGTGTGTGAGCGCGCGCATAAGTTGAAATGTTAAACTCTTGAACAATGTTTAATCGTACATATTTGTTGTCATTGCTTAAATGGCTAAATGAGTGAATGGAGTACGGATCACCGAGCGCACACGGATCGAGTTGATCACAACGGAATAGCAATTTGATCACATCAACATCAACATAGTTTAACAGGCTTACGTATTTGCCGCGTACTCATTTAAGTGTGTTTATCGGCCGTTTTTATCTATATTCTGGTCGGCTTTTTTTTTTGCTGAAATTGTTTTTTGTTTCTTTGCCAGTCGAATCGAGTAGTATTTTGTTGTGTAATTATTCGCAGTCTGTTTAAATGATGAACTCAATAGAACGGACATAATCAAATCATTGTGTGTATGTGTTTCGTAGCCATATGGGGAAGCAAACATATTTCATGCACATTTATTTCAATTAACATTCCAAACATTTGGCCGAATTTCGATGTGCCACAACAGAGCGTACACGCTGTACACACAAATACGTATCACCATCGTTAATTGATTACGCATTTAGGTTTTTACATGCTCGTATGATGAGAGAGAGATTTATTTCATATTTGGTATGATATTTCGGCTAGTACTATTGATCATCGGTTGGAATTAAACCCATTGCTTTTTATGATTCATTTAAATTTGCTCATTGAGTACTTATATATTTTGTCATTTTTCTTTGTTTCAGATTTCCAAGAGAGAATCCGTGACGAGTGCAAGCGAGCAAAAATATTATACCGCACCCACATAAACACACGACATACATTTGGCAACAATCTGTCTGTCTCCCTCTATCTCCCCATCAACCGTTAGATGTAAACACACTCAACGAATTTCATTCTGTGCCATTTTAATAGTTTGTGCTCTGCGATATCAAGCGATCGATTTGAAACGCAACAGTCAAATCAAATATACGAGATAAAAAAAGAAATATTACGATACCAAAAATTGAAAAAGTGAAATAGTGACACTTTGATTCTGTGATTGTTTTATTTATCAGTGTTGAAAACAAAAACTTTTATCGAAAAACATTGAAAAGTGCTTAAATCTAGTGAACTCTGACCAAAATCGTGTTTAAAAAGACTTTTTTGTTCCACGACCACAGCTCAGTCCAAAATAAATAAATAGAAAAAAATTGAAAACCAAAAAAAGAAACAACCAAACCGATTCAACTCCGTTCCGTGACGTGCCGTGTCTGTGCGTTTTTCTTGGCTATGAATTGTTGTTTTGTTGTTTAGATTGTTTTTAATTTTTCGTCTTTCGTTTCGTTTTATTGTGTGAGAGTGTATTATTAATATGTTGTCGTATATGGTGCCTGTTGAAGATAAATCACCACCGCATAATTTGAAATTAGAATTAAATTTGGATCAAAGCGAAAATGCAAATCAAAATGGTAATAATAATGTGGCCGCTTCATCGTCATTGTCACCGTCAGCCAAAATTTTAAACTTTGAACGGCAACACCATTTTACCAGCGCATTAAAAAGTCCTCCAAAACCGAAAACCGAAGCAGCAGCACAACGTCCAAAAACTCTAGCGAAACCAAAACAACAAATTCACAATATGGATACAACAAATGGCCCCGCCGAAAGTACGAGCAGCATATTGGCAACGGCTTCCGTTAGCGGTGATCCATCGACTGACGATGGCAAAAAAGTTAAAATGGCTAAAATCGGAACCACAAAAACTGCAGCTTTGAAACGGTAATATGGATTTCATATCATTCTCTAATTTTTTCGTTTTACTTTCCATTTGCAAAACAAATTTCACAAATATAATTTACGTCACGCCGTCAAGTTGTGAACTGAACCATTCACGATATTTCGATTTGTTTTCTCTGTGTTTTTTTTTGCGATTTCAAAGCACGATTCTACGTGTACATATTTGAATGTCATGCACACATGTCAGACAATTGTAACAATTATTATGTAAGCAAAAATGAAGAAATGAAAAAGAGATAATAATTATACACGATCTGATGTACGATTTTCTGTTGAGCGATTGTATGCCAATGGAAACATGGTAATTGATTGTGTACACATTGTATGGCAAGCGGCAGTGCAACGACCACATCGCGCTTTCATTTCAATGCAGACACAAATGGACTGATTTTTCTTCGTCTTGCTTTTTTTTTCATTCAGACATTGTCTCTCTTCGGCCACTTTGCTCCGTTTATTTTCATTTGTATAAGAGTTTCAATGAAATTCCTGACATGCCACACCACCATTTTCATCAACGCTTTACTTTTATGTCAACGTCGCTTCAGTTTCCGCATTTACTTAACCATAAAAAAGTCGTGTCATTTCTTTTTTTTATCAAATGAAAATGTTGATTTACATAGAATTGTAAAAATTGAAATGTTTGAGCACGCAAAATGGTTCGGATGGTGTGAGTGAGTGTGTGTGCGGCCCACAATCAAGAAAGCCATCAAAGTCACTATAAATTTCATAATGTCGTTAATCGTTTGCAGCATCGTTTTTTTCTACATGCCAAATGGTCAACAATCAAGGGTATTCGAAGATAAATGTTTCCTGAATCCTCTCCGAATGAGATGACATTTAACTTTATTTTACGGCATCGTTTGGGACGCCAATTTTAACGTGGCCATTAAATCTAATTCGATACGATTCATATGGTTTTTTTAAGAGTATCGCCATAAACTCTCTGGATGTAAACATTTTACATGTTTTTTATGCCGAATAGAGCATGGGCTTGTTTTGAGAAAGAGAAACAATAAGAGTGAGAGTGGAATATGGAGTTAAAGACAAAGAGCGAGAGAAAATTTATTTCGTGAGAGACCGAAAAAAAGTTATTGAAAAATAAAGGTTAGAGTTCAACTGAATGTGTCAATATCACAAGATTTCATTGGCTTTGGCATTCATGGCTGAAAAAAAGAAACGAATTGCTTGAAAATTGAAAGCTTCAATATTGAAAGCGATAAACGAAAACTGTAAAATAACAATACTCACATCACTTAAAATGAATCGCATGTTCTTTACAACAGCGAATAGTATGTGTTTTCTTGTCTTCAATACCACATATGGTTCGATATGGTCGTTTGGCAGTTCGAGCAATATGGTATAATAGGTATTCAATTAATGAAATTAACAGCTTTCAACACTTTATTTACACATGGAACGAAAAATTAAATTCGCTATTTGTATGTTTGGAATTGTATGAATAGAATTTAAATCAATTAGCAAGTGTACAACGGTGTGTACATCATTCATTTGACGTTCTTTAGTCGGTTGTATCTTTTTTTCTAGCCGTATATATCGTAGGAAATAATAATTATTATTGATTTTGCATGTTTCTTTCCATTCACAGAGTATCATTTGGATCATCAAAAGGTTCTATGGTTGAAACATTGGTGTAAGTATAATATTTTACTATTTTTTTAAATGCATAGCGAAAAAATGAAATGTGTAGTATGATTGCACAGCAAAATGAATATTTTTCTCAATTAGTTTTTTAAAAAATTGTTTTTCTAAATTAGATTTGAAACGCCAACACCTCTCCTAGAGCAACAAGAGTTTGGTTTTCCGGCCGATAAGCCAGCAACACACGGTGCAGCCGGACATAGTAGCAATTCTTCGTCGGGTCTTGATGACAGTGGCATCGAACTTCAAGAGGAGTAAGTTCAATGGAATTATATAGATAGTGTAATTTACTTCATTCTGCATTGCATATGCGTTTTGTTCACGTACAATGTCGTGTGCGCGCGTCTTGCATTTAAAAAACTTCTACGTTCAAGAGAGCGTAATTTATTTAACGATAATTAATTATACATTGCGGTTGACATGTAGTAATTCGTTTGTTGATCGTACACACATTTTCTCGTGCACATAGTGGAGAAGCGTAACTTCTGAATGGAAAAAAGGAAAAATCCCGTAAAACAGTTTATCGCTGAGCAAATAATATTGGATATGTATTTTCGAAATTGAATATGTTATTTATTCTTGGAGAGGAAATGCGACACACATACACCGCCGAATGAAAGAAAGTTGAAAGAAAGAAAATTGTTTATAGAAGTCGGTTGTTGTTTCAAGCAACGCATAGCAACCTGTTTTGCTGTAATAATTAGGAAAATACACATCTGTTCCAATAATAATAATAACAGCAACAACAACAACAACAACAATTGAATATCGACAACGGAAAAAACAGCGTTGCCTTTATTCAAATATAAAATGCGGTTGGTATGCAAATCTCTTTTCTCCGTTGTGCCAATGAACACACAGCACAGTGCACATAAACAAATTCTATGTTCCAAACATTCTTGCCATTGCACATGCAATGGAGTAAAGAAACGAGCCATGAATGCAATTTGTTTATTAATATTTTTTTTCATATATAGTTTCTACATTCGTCGATTCAATGTGTTTGCCGAGCAATCGCACAAAATAATAATAATATGTTTTGTTAGTGCGTATTTTTACAGTCATGTTTGTTTTTAAAACGATTTCATTTGCGCAAAAAAAAATTATGAATAATATAAAAACAACACATTGAGCGCGTCTGAAAAGAAAACGAAAGAAAAAAACACTGATGATGAACAACTGCGTTTTCTCGGCGCGTTCAATCAAAACGTCTGCAAGTAGACGAAAAAAAAAAATTCTCCAACTATTAAAACCACAACGAATCTGCTTGTGTGAGAATTAAACGAAATGATTTGCTAAACAAAATTATGAGACGGTATATATGCTAACCGGCAAAAATATGAAACATAAGTTTCAGTTTTGCACATGAATATGCGAGAGCTATTCATAAATTAATTTATGAAGTAAAGAAAAAAATGAACGAACAAAATGAAAAGAAGCACAAAAAAAGAGCGAACTTATCGACTGGGAAAGAAAGAGAATAGAATGCGTCAGGCCGCCGTGGATAATTTGAGTGCTTGAGTGCATTTATGTGCACACGCATTGCACTTCAATGGCCGAACATATTGCTTGTGTAAATGAGATTATTGTTGTTCTCGTTGACGCATCGGCTGTCCCTCTTTGTGCATTTTTTTTTAAACTGTTATTTCTATTTTCAGGCTCTATGCGCTTCAATTCCGTATTCATAATCGGTAGGTCTGGCGCTATTGAAACCATTTTAAAACCATATAGTTATGGTGTGCGTATTTGTTGTGTGCAACAATAAAAACAATCTCGCCGATCGTGCGATCGATGAGGTTAATAGCAGCCCGTTTATATAATGCGTTTTGTTTTCGTTTCAAGTTTTCTGAACAGTAGCTGCGCCAACAAAGTTTATTACAAGCGTCAGAGCATCATTATTATGTTCTTAGCAATATGTTGGCCGCACCTCAGCAGACTCAATTATCCGAACCATATCATAAGTTCATCACAAACAAGTGTATTTCAAAAACCGATCAAAAATGTCTGCAAATCAAAATGCTCAAGACTCATTTCCAAGTAGGAAGAAAGAGAAAAAGGCCCAAAACAAAACATATTTTATAAAATATAATTTAAGAAGAGAGGCCATTCTCTGCGAGTCTATTAAAACTGTAGAAATAAGATCGGTACATAACGAAAGACGTTAATTCTATTCTATGCCATACAATTCATGCGGTATGTTGAACGTATGCAAACAAACAGGCAGTGTCTCAGTTCATTCAACTTGAAATTAGATTTCCCGTTTCGCTACATGGGTTTTCTCGCGGCATTTATAAGTGAGTACGTGGTTCGCGGTTTTTCTTATTCATTTTTTTTTTCATTTTGTGTGTGCTTTTCTTATGGTACAATATCGAAACAATTAACTTCGTCTGTGTGCCATTTTTTTCATTTGGATAAGCACCGTTCGTTGTTGCGCTGAAATAATGTCGTATTTCAATCTCGTGCGGTGCGAAAGAAAGAGACACATTTTGATGCATACGGCAATACGACAAGAACACATCAAACGGCAACAATTTATCAAGATAATCGAGCCACATAAATTCTACTCGGTATCACCTGATTTACTCACTCACTCACTAATTCTTCTCGGCTCGTCTTGTCTTGTCTTGTCTTGTCGACAAACAATCGCCGAACAAGAACAGAAAATAAGAACACAGGATGAAGAAACGGGAATAATAAATGGCTTTTGCAAATGATTGCTGTTGAATGTTTCGATGTCAGCAAATCGAAAGGCACGTATTCGATCTGAGTTTGAAACGGTGTGTTTTCATATTACAAACCAACTTTCAATAAGAAATCATCGCTAATTCAATAATTTATTGGAACACATTTCAAATTGGATTTGCGTTTGTTTCTTTTTTTCTCTAGACACTAACAAAGTTCCGAAATCGATCACACAATTTCATTTCTATAAAACGGTATAAAAAATATTGAAAACCATCTATTTTTTCAGCTGCTTCTATTATCTTTATGTTACGGTCATTGTGAAACCATTGAAAATGAAATAAACAGTTTTTATTGTGAATTTCAACATTATACTCAGAATGAGAACAAATTTCGGATTTTGCACTATATGATTCATTTATAGATCTAGAGTATACACTCTAATATTTGGATTAACGACCACATTTGAATGTCAAAAAAAAAAAAACACAGAGAGAGAACACAAAATACATCAAATATGCCGCGCACACATGTGATGATTCATTCTCTGTAAAAATGTGATCAAATTTTGTTTTATAACCATAGCAATTTGCTTAGGTTGCGATTTTTACTGTTCTCATTTCGGATGTCGTCAATACACTGGAAACATTAAATCGGCTTTATACGAGTGTTTGAGCTCATTGCGCATGAAATCTATTTAAAAAGAAACTACCAAAATCAGAATGTGTCATGGCATAAATCCCATTAATTTTGCTTAGCAGCTTATTTGTCTTTCTTTTTAAAAAGAAGAACAAAATAATTGCTCCATTTCGAATAATTAAGTTAATTACTAATTAGACTGTTCACTTGTATTTTATTAGAAAGCTAATCGAACAAAGGTCAATAGCGAATTGTTATTACCGATCACTGGCTCAGGACGTAATACATTTCGAATCAAATGATTGCATTTACATTGCAATTCACAGTGAAATGAAATGAATCAAAGCAAATGTATACGGTGCACATCAATTGATCGAACGAAAAACGAAATCAAAATGGCTAAAAATAGTTTACGTCAAAATATTTGCCGTGTGTTGTTGTTTTGCACATAACAAGCACGATTTGTTATCGCTGAAACTACGAGCAATGACTTGCAATGACATGAATGAAATTGAAACGTTGCCAACCATAGCAATCGCGGTTTTAACTTGTATTTGATTCGTATTTGAAAAAGCGCATGTGTGCGTGTGTTTGTGTTGATTGCATGCCAATTGTCTGGCTGGTTGTCAAATTGTCTCATTACATTTTTTGATTTCATGTTCAGGGAAAAATTGTATAATTTTCCCGACAGTTTTCAAATGTCAACACAAACACTAAAATAGCATCCATTCGGAAAATATTCGACCGCAACGGAAATGTGAGAAATTTTTTTATTTATTGAAATCGGGTAGAATAAATAGTTTACCCATATTCAAAATAAATCTATTTTTAGAATGAACATAAATTTCTTTGCAGTTGAACACATCAGCTCGATGAAAACTTGTTTTGTCATAGCTTAAAATTTATTCTATTTGCAATGGAATTTGTGAAGCAATGAAGAAGAATATGACGATAAAAATGACATTAATTAAATTAAACTTGGAACTGGAATTTGACATTCATGCATATTGATAAAAATGGATTCGAAAGTTGGTCAGTTTGAGATATTGATTCATGTCATTTAAATTGAGTTTGTTCTCTTTTTTTGCTACGACAGCATTGAATATTTAATGGAGATTTTCAATCACGACTTCGGATTCAAATTTAGAACTATTCATTTAAAAGTAATGAAATTGAATCGATTAAATTTATCATTCAACGCATATTAAATGTCAAAAGTGCCTAAGAGGGCAGATAAATCGAATTGGCGACTCATTCACTATAAATATAGAATTTAATACTGTTTGTCAACTTCGAATGGTGTAATCTGCTGGAAAATAAGCTTTACAAACACCGCCAAGTCGATTGGGATGGGTGTGATAATGTTAATTTTGTACTCATAACTGTACCGTAATATATCAGGTATAATTGAACAGCGCGCTATCTAATTGACATGGTATTTTAAAAATGCGCATTTCGCAATTGCTCAACGAACAAAGTAAATATTAGAAAAAGTATCGAAAAGACTCGTCTTATTTGCCAAGATTTACTGTTCTTAGAGAGACTCTTACAGTTTTTTTGACGAGAATTTTAATTAGAGTTCAGTTGTGTTCTTTCAAACGTTAAGTAATCACAATGTAAACAAATCGGTCTTCGTCATTTATAATAGATGAATCAGACAATTTATTGTTGATAAAGAAATTTATTGAGTGAAAATCAAAGTGGCATTGAATCCAGAGCTCGCCTCAACTAACTTTAGGTTAGTCATATAATGAAATAAACTTAGAAAATATTTGAAATTGATGGATTGAACGTTTCTAATCTCAGCCACATTCCATCCATTTTTCCCGCTAGATTTCAATATAGCATACTTTGAATATGCTTTCACGGGTTAATAAATGAAATCGGAATTTTTGTTACAATTTTTTTTGCTGTGTGTATGTAAACTTCGACG